TGCCGCTGCTTATATGACCTTTGGGCCGCTATCTGTGCTCCCTACTTTGATGATTTTTCTCATCTGCTCTGGCCGAATTTTATTACGATGCTGAGGGGGTGGAAGCGATCGCTTAACTGCTTCCAGAAGAGAGTCTTGAATCTCCTTATCCACTCCCTGCAGCGGCCCACAGAAGTAGCTAAGCGCTGCTATAACGGTTGGCATCGATTTATACCTAGCCTCTGCAGAACATTTGGCCAAGTAAAGATTCCTAGCTTGTGGAGTAGGAATATTACGCATATATGGACCATTCCTCCACTTTCGGAATTTTTCCATTTTGGATGTGTATGTTCTGATAGTAGACGGTGCTCTGTCCGAATTGATTGCATCTATGATGACGCTGATGCGCATAAGTCCCATCTGCTCTGCCTTGACACCCAAGGAGGCCGCTTCCTTGAATTGCGGAGCTGTAAAATTATATCATAAGACATTACTTGAGTGGGTGGGCGGGCACACCGCTCACGGCTTACGCAATAGCCTGGATGATGACTCCTCATCTTGGCCCTCTTATATACAGGGATCACATGCCTCTGGCATCCGAGGTCACGGCATTGCGAAATGCAACGTGACCTCGGGTGGTACGGTACCCGTGATCCCTGTACCGTACCAATGTCACAGTAGTTCAAAACACCACTTGTGGAAGGATCATTTTACGACTGAACCTGACGAAGAAGTTGTCTCAATAAACGGATTATTACCTGATCCTCCTCTTACTCTGAGCGAGCGAGTATGTCTGAATGTCCTAGCTACATGCATTTTGGTCGAGAAAGCAACATGATAAATGACCTAGCTCCGTAGCTGAGCAGAGGGAAACACGCGGATTAGGGAGTGAAGAAGGCGACAATGCTTCCGTTTGTTCTTTCGACACTGTGGTCCTTCCCGTTTTAATATGCGCCTCGGATGCTTGGACTCTACGGAAGTAGGACGACCATGCAGTCAGCGTCATTCAACGCGCTGTGGGAAGAACGGTGCTCGAATTTCGCTCCCCTCATTCGCACCTGTGCAGAGAGGCTATCGGAGTTCCGAACATTGTCAAAGACAGGACAACGTGTGGTATAGGTAATTATTTTCGTGCGTATTCATTCGATCTTTGTGTATGTATATGTGCTTGTTGCGTATATTAGTGTTTGTACTTAAATACGTATCCGTTTGTTATGTAGGTGTTTTGTGTAAGTGGGTCTGTCTGACCTGTCCGGCAGATGACAATTTTGCAGGCTTTTTGTTTGGTCGTATTTTGGATTCCAGCGAATAGCTGAATGAGCAATTTTGCGGCCATAACCCCTTCCTGAAAGGAATAGGAATTACCTTCGAGGAAAAAATCTGTTTAATCAGAAGTTCACCCCGATATTTTCACACAATTCTGATTTTACAGAAACCAATTTTGTAGCAGTATGGAACCTGCGGCTTTAGTTTGGAAATAAAAACATTGGTTTGAACTCTTTGACATTGCATTGCGTTACTGGGACAAATCTACGGCAAAAGCAATTCTGTCCAGCTCCTGATGCTTAGAAGAAGCCTTTCCACGCATAAAACTTCTGTCTGTACAGTTTGGACGACTAGGAGACGATATCGCCCCTGATGTCAAATTGTACTGCTTCTCTGGAATTGAAGAGGACTTCTCCTAGCTCTTCATTATCGAAAATACACCCAACCAAGCGACACAACAAAACAACTGTAAGGCACAAAAAATACAAACATCAAGTCAATGCAAAAAATACAATCTATGAAAACGTTGGCACATTCTCCACCAGAGTGTTTATCCATATTACAATGACTGTTCATTGTAGAAATTCTCAGGACCCTTCTGAACGAACGTCTACATCCAGAAATCTGCTTCCAATCTATAGCTCGGTGTTCCGAACATCTTTCATAAGGGAACTATCACCAGTTGCACGAGAACGATTTGTTGCTGCTTCAACAGCGTCCATCAAAATACCCTAATAAAAGAGATTTTTAGGAGGTTAGCAACACTTTCACTTTCAATATTTCTCAATACAACCTTTAGACCTCCGCTCTCCAACTTATGCATTCCATAAACTGAGGAACCACCAGGGCTTTGAACATCGTCCTTTAGCTTAGCCGGATGCGTACCTTAATTTCATATTATATTTTCAGACTTCAAAGTCCTTCCACATCCTGTTTCTGACAGTACTGTAGGAAATTTCAAATGATAGTGAATGAAAACTTGCACCCCTTGGCTCAAGGAAAAAGAATAAAAGATAAAGTCTTGAGGTTTTAT